GTCTTACAAGGTGTCAGCTTCTTAAACGATTATCTTGTTTAATCCTCATAGTACCCTAAGAGGTAGGCACTACTATTACTGGTCACTATGAGTTGGAATCGACTCGATAGCAACTGGTTTGGTTTTTATTTCACAGACGAGAAAACAGAGGCTGAAATATTTCTTCAGGAACACAGAACTGGTAATTCACAAAGCTTCCAAGCTTTGAAACCAAGTTTACCTGACCCCGGAATCTGTGCTTTTTAGCAACAGTGCTCTACTTCTAGATCCAACCACTCAGGTGCCTCGTGCAGGGAGAGCTGCATGCAGAGCAGCAGGTCTGATAGCAGGCTCGTGCCCACCAGCCGCCCCCTCCACGTCCGCGTATCTTGCACTGACATTGTCACTTGCGTTCCTTCTGAGAACTCGATGCCTCTAGGCACCTGGTAGACATGTGCTTTTCCCTGACCCATTTCTCTATGTCGTGTTCCACTTGCCTGAAACACCTTGACTAGCCGGTAATTAAGCCCCTCCCTACAGTGATGTGAAGCTCAGCCTTCCCTGGCAGTGACTGTGAGCTGACAAATGGGCCTGCTCTCATTAGTGACTACCAGCCCCGAGGCAGGTCTCCTCAGCCGCAGCCTGCTGCTTGCCTGCTTCACGGCACCCAGGAGGAAACCTTCCTTCTCCCATTTCAAAGCCTCCACCAGGCCACCTGTCTCCTTTCTGAGGGATGACAAATTCTGCTTACCCTCTCAACGTAGTCCAGTCCTTGAGGGAATATTTATCTCTAGAATTCTAACATGAAATTACAGTCCATGGCAAATAAAGTAACTATACAAACCCAAGTGAAAGGAGTGGTCTGTGAGAGAGAGAAGGGAGTTTCCAGAGTCTGGGGTGCTTCCTAACTGGGCATACACACCCCCTGTGACATCTCTGCCCTTCCTCCCAGATCAGCCCCACACGACAGCCCCCAATGTGCCCACGCAATATCTGGCTTTGTAACTACCTGTGAACTTATCCCTTCAAAAAATGCTTTCTGTTCTTTGCTAAAGAAAATGTTCTAATTTCGCATGTTGGCAACAGGCCTTGGTAACGAGTATGTCTTCCAAATAACTTGGCCAACTTTTCCTTTCTACTTTGTAGGCTACTCCTAGCTTCTACCCTGTTGTTCAGATATAAATAACTTCTGCTGTTTATTTCATTGAATCTATATGTTAAAATGTGACATTTTGCATGATGCTCTGTGAGAGCAGCTGAATTTCAGAAAACAATGGTTCTGTGGATTACATGGACCTTATATGATTTATTGGGAGTCCTGGTGGTGCAGTGGTTAAGTGCTCAGCTGCTAACCAAAAGGTTGGCGGTTCAAACCCACCAGCCACTCCTTGGGAGAAGGATGTGGCAGTCTGCTTCTGTAAAGATTACAGCCTTGGAAACCCTATGGGGCAGTTCTACCGTGTCCTACAGGGTCCCCGTCAGTTAGAATCGACTCGACCGCAGTGGGTTTGGTGTGTGATTTATCTGACAGTCTTTGAATCCTGCCTGTGTAGTTCAGTAAGGTCATCGTGTTAATGTTAGCTGTTTGATAAGCATGGAAGTTTCCTTAAGGACGGTCAGGTTGACTGATCACCACAGAATTATCTTCCTTGTGGCTTTAACGAGTTAGAAGGTCAGATACTCCGGTGTGTGTGTTCCTGAGCTGGTTTCCAACAGCTGCTGCTGAGGAGAGAACGCTGTTCCCAAGTCACTAACAACAAAGCCAGTTCCCGGGGAACATTTCCAGCCTATCACAAGGTGCTATCAGGACCACACAAGTGAGAAGGGGCCTAGAATTCCACAGCCTAAAAGATGACTCTTGAAAGTAATTTCACCTGCTTTCAGTGAGTAAGAATTCTAGTAAAAATGCTAAATGTGGTTCACTTAAGCCGTATGTCTCCAGATTTCTCATCACCTGTACCAGGGAAAATGCTTCGGTTGAAGAAAATCATACGGGTTGAGAGAGCACTTGAACCCATCTATAGAGTTAGGAAAGAAAAATAGGACTATCCGAGTTAAGAGAATACACATGGATGTCCAGGGACAAGGACTAGGTATACTTGGCGACATCAGTTCTGTACAATCCCCCTCCCTACCGTCAAATGCCTGCATTCTTTGGAGTCAGGGAAATATAGTTGGTAACATTCGATTTAAGCACAGCTTCTGACTAATGAGAAAGACAGAAAGACCCAGTTTGCTTTGAGTTTACAGTCCGTATGCATAGAGTCCAGGGAGGTGGCTGAACTCATATTGTAAAGTTTGAATGCATTTCTAGATTCAGCATTACAGTTGGGTAAGGGGATAAACGGGCATTTAGAAACCTTGGTGACATAGTGGTTAAGAGCTATGACTGCTAACCCAAAGGACAGCAGCTCGAATCCACCAGGTGCTCCTTGGAAACTCTATGGGGCAGTTCTACTCTGTCCTACAGGATCACTATAAGTCAGAATTGACTCAACAGCAATGGGCAAAAATGGCAATGGGCTGCATTAAATGACCTCTTCAGTGGGACACTCACATTAAGCTTAAACTTATTTTGACCAGTTGACTGATCACAGTCCTCGTGGCTTGTTGTTATTGTTAGTTGCTGTTGAATTAGCTCCAGCTCATGGCAATCCCACGGACAACAGAGCAAAACATTGCCTGGTCCCCAGCACTACATTGGACAATATTCCACTGTGATGAATAGGGTTTTCACTGGCTAATTTTTGGGAGCAGATTGTCAGGCCTTTTTTCCTAGTCTGTCTTAGTCTGGAAGCTCTGCTGAAACTTGTTTGCCATAGGTGGCCCTGTTAATATTAAAATACTGGTGACATAGCTTCCAGCAGCACAGTAGCACTCAGGCCACCACAGTACAAACGGACAGACGGGTGGTGGTCTTGTGGTTTAAGCACCTCAACTGAAATTTAACCATTATGTTTGTTTTCAGATTCTTCATTATACATGCGAATGGCAAAACACAATTTTATATGAAAAATACAACATTTGCAGGTACCATCTGGACTTGAGATATCACCAAATTGTAACTCAGTGACTTAAGAAAATCCAAAAAAAAGTGCCTTGAACCATGGCAATATTAGAGTATAATAAGCTCTCTGAACAAATATCCATTTGGCTAACTTGCCAGATAAACATATTAGGCTGGTGTGTTTGGCCCCAATATCGAATCTCATTAGAAATCTAAACTATTGATCTAGTTTCCTTTCCTAAAAAGGACAAATGTCGATATAGTCTCTAAAAAGTCAGACTAAAGTAATATAAAGAAGAGCTTCTTTCAAAGTTAACAGCTGTTGGTAGCAGTAGGAACTCAAGTCTTTGCTAAATGAACTTCTCTGCTCCTGAATCTTGAAAATATAAGAATTCACCGTACAGCCAAGTAACAGGAAGAGCATTTACTGGCAGGTAACCTGATGTCACTGGAGTCGTTCCACTCTAGGACAGACTTGAGGCTTGCTGGGTAAGATCCAGCCAAGAAAGGAGAGAGTAAGGCCACATCTTAACGGTTGGTGGCCAAACGGCTACACAACCATTTGGATTATAATTCCAGCTCAATCGATCAGAAAAGCTAAACGTCCGACTTTGGTTTAGTTTTAAGTGATTTCTGAAGCAGACTGTTGCATGCATCAGTCTTCCCACATGTCTGATCCAAATGGGTTTAGAACCATGAGTTTCCTGGGATGGTAGAACTCTGACACCCAGGAGCGAGAACCGCCAGCAACACTGCCCCACAGGCCTGTCTAGCACACCCAACGGCCTCAGAGCATCATCAGGAGGGTCCGAGACTCTCCATCTTAGTATCTGCGACGAGGCCATTTAATGAAAATATAGCTTCTTGGCCTTTTGTGGTCTAATTCCACCAGTCTATGTCATTATTAAATAAGCCAGTAAGAAAGTTTCAAAAAAAATAAAAAAGATATTTAAAACAAACAAAAAAAAACACTTGGCAGGATCCATCTCAAGACATGGGAAATTAACTGCACAATGACAAATCTTTCCCTGATCCATAAGTACAGAAGCTGCCTCAGCCCAGGAATGGAAAAGGGTTCCGCTTTTTATCAACGGGAAGCTCCGTCTGCAATATGAAAAAATAACACGGCTAGGTTGCTTTGTATTTCAGCTTTTACAATTACTGAACAGGAAGGTGCCTGCCGCTTGGAAGCTCAGGACAGCATTACCCTGGTGCCTTCAGGAGACAGGCAGTAAGAAGTGCTGAATTACAGACCTCTCTCTTAAATCTCAGACATGCACCATGCATCAAGCAGCAATCCACAGCCACCCAGTCTAGGGCTCCTCCAATACCGACACTCAGCTTGGGGAAAAGCAAAATGTGGTGCAGTCACCTCTCTAAGTTTCACCCCATGGAGAACTTCTGGTGAGATCCCTCCAGAAAGTCTTTTCATGACGGAGTGAAGCACTAAAACTCCCCACTCTCCCCGATGTCACTTCTAATTATAAGCAGCATATGAGTGACATTTATTTACCCAAACGATTCTTGGTGAGCTGGGAACTGAGGAGGAAGGAACCAACTGCCGTTTATTAGTCAGAGGGCTAAAAAAAGCAGCACACACAGTAGGCACTGATAGATGTGTGTTTCCGGCATGAAGAGCAAAACAACCAATAAAAAACCATACACATGACTGAGTGTGTGTGTGGGGGGTGGGGGGGCTTAGCATTCTAAGCAGAAGAATGAAAGAAATCCCAGTGTAAGAAGTTCTCATATTCATTTAACTTAGAGGACTGACTGCAGAAGGAGCCCTGACATTTGGGTTTTTCCTGCCCTGCTTGTCAGCCTCCTAAAAAGGTAAGACTTAGTCATCAATCTTGTTGTCAACAGCGGCTATGAAAAACGCTGCTTTTATGTGTTGTAGGAACTAAGGGTTTGTACACGTGAGAGAATTCCTGTAAGGCTTTTCCTGTTTCTCTCCTCCTTGAAACATGGTCTTAACCACTTTTCATTTCTCACAGAAGAGTGCGGGCCTTACCAGGATCATGTGACCAGTGGAGATGTCCATGTTGGACTGGACCGGCTCCTCTGACCAGGATGAGGTGCTGCTCCTAGCCGAGGGGCTGGGCATAGGCCCATCGCTGAACTGGGAGGAGACGCTGTTGATGCGGGAAGTGTGCAGGGGCTCCGGGCGCTCCACGGACCTGCCGGCCATGCGTTGCCGGCACAGCTCCTGGAAGGCAGGGAGAGAAGCAGACTATTAACAGTGGTCGCTGGCGAGTGGAGCGGACAAGGGGCTGCCAGTGCCCCTGCTGTACTGCTTTGCTTTCCTTCTCACCCATCTGCTAGTCCTGAGGTCAAGGTCCATACAGGGGGGATTTCCCCACCTGGTCTCACCAGTGTGCCATCAGACAGTCCTAGGACATCCTGATTTAACACGCTCCATTAATATCTTCTAGATAATGCTTTTTTGCCAAGCACTGTGTTCTGTAGCCCTGGTGGCACGGTGGTTAAGAGCTCAGGCTGCTAACCAAAAGGCTGGCAGTTCAAATCTACCAGCTGCTCCTTGGAAACCCTATGGGGCAGTCCCACTCTGTCCTATAGGGTTGCTATGAGTTGGAATCGACTCGATGGTAATGGGTTTTTTGGGTTTTTTTTTGGTTGGTGTTCTGTAGGAAGTCCCTGCGTAGTGGAAATGGTTAACCTTCTCAGCTGAAAAATTGAAGGTTTAAGTCCACTCAGAGACACCTCGGAAGAAAGGCCTGGTGATCCACCTCCAAAACTCCACCATTGAAAACTCCGTGGAGAATAGTTCGACTCTGACACACATGGGTCACCGCGAGTCAGAGTCGATTCGATGGCAATTATTTTGGTTTGGTTTCTCGTGTTCTTTAGGTACTTTCATATTCACGCATTACAGCAATCTGACTAAGGAAGAAGAGTGAGAAGTTACAGCTGCCCTTGTTTTCTGAACACCTAACAGATAACATGAAGAATGCCTAGATCTAAGAATAAATGAATGAACACACACACACAAATGTATAGATTCCAGGGGAAAAAAAAAAAAAAAAGGAGGAGGGCACTGGATCTTTCTCTGCAATCAAACTAAAATATTCTTAGAATCATGCAACATTTGGAATGAGTTAGGTATCTTTTTTTTTCATTAAAATTTAGGCCATAATGGAAGGGAAGGTGATTTTATATTATGCATTGAAATATGGAAATTTGTATCACAATCACAAAACGGTGTTCAGAAGACAACATAAACCAAATACCCTCTCTTCTCAAAACAACATCCAAACTGATAAAAGTTCACGCGGGAGTGAGTGAATAGAACCACACACACTGTTGCTGTTGTCAGCCACCATCAAGTTGGCCCCTGACTCACGGTAAACCCCGCAACAGAACAAAACACTGGCCAGTCCTGTCCATCCCCATGGTCAGTTGTGGATCAGACGGTTGTGATCCATAGGGTTTTCATCGGCTGATTTCACATCCAAGTAGCATGCAAGCCTCCACAGACAGAAGGGTGATGGCCGCACATGAGGTGCACTGGCCTGGAATCAGCCCCAGGTTTCCCATATGGAAAGCGAGAACTCTACCACTGAATCACCGCTGTCTCAAAGCCACACATACAAAGGAAAGTACACAGTAATAACAAAAACTTTGCCTTTCTGACAACAACTGCAAAAAAGACAAAAGTTTCTAGATTAAAAGAAAAATCTTAAAACCCTAATAAAGTTTCAAATAGGTCATTAGAGTGTCTTTAAACTTCTTCACACAAGGTAACATAAACGTACTATGAAGTAAGCATGTCCAACACGTGCCAACTGCCAACGGGTGACACGAACACGGGTGACACGAACACGGGTGACATGAACACGGGTGACACGAACACGGGTGACATGAACAGTGTCTGGAGCCTTGTAAGGCAGGGAGCTTTTGTCATTTAGATTCATACAACATCAGTATAGCCGCACATTAGCTCCTGACTGTTACACATTTAGCCCGGAGGCTGACCACCACCTCTGGCTACCAAATACCATTTTGGAAGTATTCCAACAGAAATGATATCCTGAATTCATCTTTTTGCCCAGTGAAAATATAACTATAATCTGAGTCATCAAGATAAAAAGACACTAAGAAAAAGTTTATAAGAAAATCCAAACCAAATAGAGGATTTGAAAATGTGTCCATAGAAAAAAACAAACGTTCCAACAACTGCAGGGCTCGTGTGTGCTGCCTTTCTTTCCATTCTGGTGGCTCCTGGTACCCAGGGGGTGAGGCCACACCACCCACGTGCACCTGGCCAGCGGTGTGTATCAAAGCACCCCAAGGCGAAGGCTAAAGATCACCAAACACATGTTTCCGTGGTCCTTTGCACCCTGGGCTGCCACTTTCCTTGGCATTACAGAGCTTCATAAAGGCAGCTGACACCACACAGAAAACATCCCTCCCAGCTTGGCTCCGTGTGGGAGACAGAGCTCGCGCTCCTGAGCGTCCCGCTCCAGTGCCCACTGATAAGCCCCGCTATACACAGGCTCTTTGAGAAGGGATCCCCTTCCGGGCCCGGCATCCCATATAAACCCTCAGCCCCCTGTCAGAGCACTGGTGACAAGGAAGGTGACCGTGGGCACACAGGTGACAGACAAAGTGGAGAAAGGGGAACTCAAAACTAATTCCTGCTGTGGGAAAAGAGGTCTCTAGCAAAAGGGAGAAATAAAGAGACGAGAAGAACATGGCTGCATGGCTACCTCCTCCTTTCCCACGTGCTCTCCAGTGCTCATCAGCTTATGGAGTTTTCAAATAATGTGTTTCTTTTAAAAATTGACGCAAGTTTTCTCACAGTCTAAAAAAAAACACAGCAAAGAAAAAAAACAAAAAGAAACCAAGAAACAATGGATAATTTTAATAAGGTAAAACTAGATGACATTAGAAATCAACCCAAGTGCATCTCATTTATTCCCCATTTATGCACATGGAATATTACTTGGCTTTCGAAGAAGCACACACAAAAAAATGCTTCTGTAGTAGCTTCTTTGATTTTTATATTTTTCTAGAAAAAAAGTAAGTCCTACCAAAGTATAGAAACAACTACAGCATAGGCTAAGGGAACTCAGAATATGTCCTCCAAGGATGAGATATTTTGAGGGAAGGAGATTTGAAATGTTTAAGATTTAACCACTTAAAATGAATGTGTCTATCCTGTGAATATGCCACTGACAAAAGAATTACAAACGGCTCTTCCTCCCTCAGTGCCCACAGAGAGTAAAGCACACCAGTACTGGACTCTCCCTGCCCTGGGCTGGGGCTCTTGTCCTACCGTGAACTTCCCATGTGAGTATGGGTAAATCACAGCTCTCCAAGCCCAATTTTTTCACTTTAAAAATGGAATATAGTCGTTGTGAAGATCAGAAGATTTCATGTATGCAAAATGTGGAGCAAGGGGCCTGCCCTCAAACATTAATCAGTAAAACAGTAGTAGAAGTAAATGAAATAAAAATTAAAGTAATTCTCTAAACTAGTACAAAACTCCAGAAGGCCTGACAAATTCAAAAATATTTTTAAAGAAATCACAGAATTTTAGGATTGGGCTAGACAAGTGATCACCTGCTCATAGCTCCTGATTTACGGGTTTATGATTTATGGGTTGCCAAGGTAACACAACTATTTGGCAGTAGCATGGGGACAAGGACTGGCTGACTCACAGCCGCATTCTCTTTCCATTGCTACCTAGTGCTGATCCTCCTTTTAGGTCTTTATTTTAAAAAAAACAAAAAGGAGAAAACCTGGGATAAAAATCCAAGAAAGATCGGTTCCCCATCTTTAAGCTAACAATGAATATTTAACACTGAAGCATTGATTAGAGGAGAGATGCCTCCAAAGAGGTGTTGGAGGCATGAGAGCTTGACAATCAGAAAGGTTGGAAAAACCATTCAAGTGATCAATCGTTCTTCACCTACACAGAGCAGGGAAAGCTGCAGGAGGAGAAACGTTTCAGAAGTAAAAAGACTCACTGTCCAATGGCAATGAGTGATCTTTGTGATCTAAGGACTCTTTCACTGCATGCTTTTAAATAAAAATACACCCTCTCCTCACTTACCAACATGGCTAGATTCCAAAGACCAGTTTGTTATACGAAATCGGTGTTATGCAAAAATGGAAGATGACCACATCAGATAACAAAATGGAGGATGACTACATCATCAACTGCCAGATTACATCATCACATAACTGCCAAGTTACATCATAACATAACTGCCAAGTTACATCAATTACATAACTGTCAAGTTACATCATTACATACATACCAAATTACATCACTACATACTACCAAGTTACATCATTTCATAACTGCCAGGTTACATCACTACATAACTGCCACGTTACATCATTACATAACTACCAAGTTATATCATTACATACTTGCCAAACCACTGAGAATCACGGCTCAACCAAGCCGACCCATAACCCTACCCGTCACAGCCGGCATTACTCTCACCTTGCACCTCGGCGTTTGTTACTGCCAGATGCATGTCATTAATGCACAAAACAGTTGGATAGTAGAGTTTTTACTATTGTCGTAAATGTGAAATGTCAGATAACGAGACAGTCAATAAGTGAGGAGAAGGTGTAAAAGCATGCGCTTCCTGACTAAGGTGGGACAGCTCATATTGAACTGTTGCCAAGCTTCTATATAAAAACAACTAAGACAGCTAATATCTGGGAGGTAATGAAACCAGAATTTCTCTAGAGAAGGGGATTAGATTGGAAAATTGAGGATGGGGTTTGGGCTGATGGGGATTACTGGGGGTTAAAGCACCTTGATCCTGCCTCTGTGTATGAGGGACAAACTAAGAAACATGTGAAGTCCCTACTTCTGCCAAGTTTTGAACACCCTAATCCTGATTCAAGCTGATGGATAGGAAAGCAACCCACCTGAAGTACATTAGTTCAACTACAGGTAGCTATGGTTCCCTTGAGTTGCAAGTTAAGGCTGTGTTCTAGATTTTAGGAAGGCTACTAGGGGAATCAGCCATTTAAGAGAATCTCTGCACCTCTACAAAACTGAACCTGGAGGCACAGACAACCAGGTTATTGATGATGTATCTGAAACAGATTCTAGAAATCCAGACCCAGAAAAAATTTGTTTCTCCAGAGGAATTTATATGAGAATTGTAACATATATTTTTCTTCTTTTCTCTTGTCTCCCAGGAAACTCATTCATTCATT